AGAAGATTATAGAAAATAACAATAGTACTTGTAAAAAAACCTAAATATACAAGTATTTTATCGGGTACCGAAAATTTTTATTTTAGATAGTTTAATACACAACTTAGCACAATATGTGCACCGTATGCCATATATAACGAGTGATGCAAACGTTTTTTTCCTTTTTGTTTTCACTATTGCTTCTCCCAAAACATCCGGAAGGGTTAATTGTTTTTCCGTTGGAAAGACCGAAATCGGAACTTCAGAAAAACATATGAAGTGAGTGATTGAATTTGAATGAGAAAAAATTTAAATACCAAATGTCGCCAAAAAGCTCTTGTACAGAGCTGTTTTTCTTTATTTCCTTACTGTAGTCTGAAGAAAAAAGTTGTTTGAAAATCAAATCGATCAGAATCTAGCCCCTAGAAAACTCTATCGATCGCTCTACTTTTGAAAATTTCTCAGTGATGTCTTAACAGAAAAAAAGGCGTATTATGAAACCCAGTCTTGATAAAAAGCATCATTTTGCATCAGGAAGATAGTGCATCGAGAAAATTTATTTATTTATGACTCAAAATATGTTAGTGATGATTAAAATTAATACGAGTTTGTAGAAAATTGAATACTGATTCAGAAAGTTTGCTTTAGGAATATAAAAACTAGTAATTAGATCTAATTAACTAGTTTTTTGAAACTAATGAGAAATTTGAGAATTTCTGCATGAAAACTATAGTATAGATCGAAAGATAATTTATCACACCCTGTTCGAAACTGCGACAAAAACACTTATAGTTTCTATAAATACATAATTTCAAATGTATTCTGTTACGAGGAAAGGAAAACGTTGATGAGAAAGATGTTCAAAGAGTGCGAAAATTACAAGAGCTTTTTGGCGACATTTGGTATTTAAATTTTTTCTCATTCAAATTCAATCACTCAATTCATATGTTTTTCTGAAGTTCCGATTTCGGTCTTTCCAACGGAAAAACAGTTAACCCTTCCGGATGTTTTGAGAGAAACAATAGTGGAAACAAAAAAAGGAAAAAACTTTTGCATCACCTTTGTATGTACGACTTTATTTGAAAAAATCACATAATCTTGAACTTTTATGCTTTTTAAATGAATTAGTATGATTTTAAAATTTTACAGCTCAGAATATCTAATTACGATGAACTTTGTTTCAAAACAGAGTACATAAAAAATTGAGAACAGGTTCAATAAATGGCTACATTATACGATGATTGGACAGTGAAGTCAAACGTATATTTATGATTTTTTCCATTATTGTATATTTGTAACTAAATTTATCTATTTCCTTCCACTATAGTTTTTCCTATTCAACTATGCATAAGAAGGAATAGAAAAATTATTCTGTATATAGTTAATTGCACTTAGTGTATTTCTATACAGTGAATTAGATACAATTAGATAGACTGAGCTGTATGATTAAGGAAACAAAAACATGATACCATAAGCCTTTTGTTTATATTATTTCACTCTTAAAGGAATGAATCTAAATTAAATTTGATACGAGTTTTGCTAAAATTTTTAAATCATACTAATTCCTTTAAGAAGCATAAAAGTTCAAGATTATGTGTTTTTTTAAAATAAAGTCGTATATACATATATATGTCATATGGCGTACATATTGTGCTAAATTATATAATAAAACTATCTAAAATAAAATTTTATGCTGTTCTCTTATTTTTCTATAAAATGTATGTGTTTCTTAGTTTACACTAAAATCATCAAAAATGTTCGAAGTATCATCACCGACCACTTGTTGTTGATCATGCTCTAATTCATTGTCATCTTGTGCATCTATTGCAAAAACAGCATTATTTGATTCAAGACTATTTATCGATGATTTAGCACCTAATTTTTGTCTTGCTTTTGCACCGATATTTGATATTGCCTTTTTTTATTTGTGATTCATCAACCACTGAATATATATCTTTTAAATATGCTAAAATAAATTAGGCTTTCATCACTACTAATAAATTTTAGGAATAAATGCTATATCAAGAATATCCATATTAAAGTTATGCGATACTTGGAACAAAATAAGCAGAAACATTCCTTAGATTAAACGTGTGCTTTATGCGGGCGAATGACGCCAAAATTTTATCATTTGAAACGTACGATTAATATAAATAGCCATGCTTTCTTTCTAACTTCATTTGAACTAATAATACTATAAACGAGCTATGTGAAAAACTATAGATTTCAAATATGCTTTATGACTGAAAAAAGACAGACAATGTAATAAATGCATTTAAAACAAAGAAAACAATCAATATATTTCAACATACGACTTTTTTATCAAAATTTATCTAAAAGTCACCTCTCTTCAGGTATAACTACAATATAAATTTTAGGTTCTTGGTAGGTCCGTTTACAAAATGCTATTATCATCTAATTAGAGATATATAAAAAATAAAGGTTTTATGAAAATAGATATGAAAATGCAACTTCCCTAATTGGAAGCTAAATACGTCACAGACGCTCACTGATAATCGTTATTTGGTGATTCAGAAAAAAAAATTATTTGTTTTCTAACTTACAAATAATTGATTTACACAAATCTTGTATTTCACTTGCTTTGATATTGGCTTGTTCAACAATGTCTGGATAAATTGCTTGAATAATATGACGAGCTGTGTTACTGGGTGTTTTTTGACGACATTTTCTTAACAGTTCTGGTTGCAGTGGTATACCCTTAAACGAGATAAACATACAAGGTTAAGCTCGTTATGAATAGCTAAAAGTCTTTACAGGCCAAAAATTGCTGTAGTTTTATAAAAAGACAATTATTGCGTTGTTTTCTGTCAATACCTAACTATCTGTGACAACTAGTGAAGACTACCTTCCGCCAAATCATCCCCGAACAATGTAAAAGACACTAAGAAATGTTTAAGAGATTAGTATGCGTTGTGATTTGCTGCTTACTAAAATGGACATCATCAAGTGTACTTTCGATGAGCTACATTTCTCACCAAGATGTTCGCTATCAAGAACCATAACTTAAGGATGTTTTTTTCAATATATTCATTTACGTACAGCATAAGTTTTTATCTCATCAACTTTTGTCTCATTGATCAAATCATTCACATTTTTCCACCAACAAAAACATTCAACTGGTGGTGGTGCTAGAAAAAAAATAATAAAACGGTCACTGGATGAAGTATGTATATTGAAATTTATGAACTCTTGCATACTTACGAACATATTACTTTCGTTGTTCATATAGATCTTTGAATGTTTTCAATTTAGCTTTTAATTTCATATTTTTCTTTTTCAATTGTTTGTACATTGACTTATAATCTTTTAAACCTACATGATCCATTGTATGTTCATGAAGAAAACATATAATAAACTTTAGTAAATGTAAGAAACTAATCTAACTAAAATGAAAACACCACACGTTTAAAAACGTTCTTTGTTAGTTTTGTCAATTTTTTGAGCACTTTGAGATTGCAGTAAACTAATGCTGAACAGAAAAATGTTCGTTGTGTTTTAATTATGTTCAAAAAAACATGGTATCCGTAAACAAACAACATTTGTTTCGATTAAACAAATACTAAGTCTTTCTTTAAAACTCGTTAATGTCCATTGTAATATTTCATCGTCAAAATGACCGACGCCAAGCAAAGAAGGAAGTGTATATTTATAACCGGCTAGAACTAAACTATTTTTTGTTGGATCAGATCGAAATTTGGTACCAGAAATAAGCCATTGACCATTATGACATATAAGACAATTACAATGAACAACAGTGTTATCTAAAAGTAGAAAAACACTGTCCTCATATTTTTTCTTAGAAAACAAACTGCTTCCTAAAACTACATTTTTCCAACGTCCTTTTTTGCATATTCTACATCAACACCATTATTTAATATAAGGAAATAATTCATAATTGGTCGTTGTTTAACCTTAGAACATAAAAAACGTTTGCATACAAATTCGTCTGTATCTAGTTTTTGATTCATTAATATTTTGTCACCAAATTGTCAAAATATAGAGATTCATCTTTTTCTTCAATATACAACCACATGCATTTTAAATAATTAATAAATGCATTTATTATTTGATTAGATGGTAACTTCATACCGTGCACACTGTCCACCAATAGACCGTTTAAACTTTCAAATCCAAAGCCGGACCATCCGTGTAATGCATTATACATTTTGACATGCATTGCTAAATGTAACATATCATGCACGGCTGACACCATTTCTTTTACACTATACAATTTTTCATATTTTTTAACAAATAGTATTAATAATGTTTGTGCTTCATCCTTATCATTATCTGTTATTTTATGTTTACATAATAAATATATAGCATGAACAAATAATAAATAATAACGATAACAGATGGTAAATAACATTTAAGTATAGGAAAATAAGCTAAAAAGAATAATCGATTTTCATTTGCTTTAAAACGGTTATAATGTTCGATATTACGAACTGTTCTTCCGATACCAGATGGATAAAAAACATTTTTTCTGTATAAAGATGATATATCATTTATATATGCACCAATATACCAATTATTATTTGTAGAACCATTAAACCATAATTTATACATACGTCTAAGTACACCAAGGTAAACTCCATGTATGCTTTCGATAACATAACCATGTACAATATTAAAATGTTTAAAACGAAAGAAAGCACGAGGACCAAACACCCCTTTAATACGTTTATTTGTTCTAATTGCTTCCAGTGTACATTCAAGTATAGAATCGCGTGTGCGAACAGGCCCATCTGGTTCAAGATCATTAAACGGATAAACACGTGAATTATTTCGATAATATAAAATAGGATCAACATCATGTAATTTTTTTCCTAAATAAACAGAAAGAAAATAAATGGGTATAGGTGTACACTAACTTATGTACTACAATAATTGAACGAGATCAGTAGCATGCTAAATTTGATTCCTCGAGTAAGAGATACAGGATCTGTATTTGGTTTGGAAAAAGTTCCCAAACGAACTTTTCAGACAAATTCTCCAAAGTACCAAGATTAATTTTCAAGTTTTTTAAATATGCGCTGCTTTTTATCATCGAAAACGTCATACAGTTGTACTACACTGGATATGAGTTTGTGAGAAGAAATCATTATTGTAAAAACATTTGCATTTCTTTTGATAAGACATTTTTATTCATGTGTTGCTTAATATGTTTCTCAAAAAACCTTCGATAAGAAAACCTCAACTTATGTAGAAGTTCGTTTTTAGGAAAGATCAAAATTTTCAATAGATTTTTTTTGCTAAAGTCGAATTTTAGTTGTCTATTAAACGTTAGTCGGCTATGTGTGAAGCTTTTAAACAATTTTTGCATGTATGACAAAGCGTTAGACGTTTTATTCACGATTGATACTGCTTTGAGGAAAAACAACATGGAAAGGAAAGAATAAACAAACGAAATGAATAATAAACATTGTAGTTGATTAAATAAGCAGAAGAAAGATCATTTAAAAAAACAAGTCCTGTCAGAAAAATTAACGCTGTTCCAAAATTGATGACATACCTGGTTGTTTACAGATTGCACAACCATACTCGCCGTTAAACTGAATGTGATTTTCAACTTTGCAACGAGCTACTTTATCAATAACTCCAATAAACATAAACACACGTACCTAAACAAAGACAGAAAATGAGAAACGTTTCGTTTGCCTATAAACATAAATGAGCTAACTTTGTAGCTTATAGAATTAGTGGTGTATAGTTTTTTATTGGCTTTTGCCTAGTATCATTTTACTTTCTCACATCGCTCTTGGTGAGAGATATTTTATCAAGGTTATGCCTGTTGCTGCTTAGTACGCTCGTA